GGGGGGGGGCTTCATCACCACAGATGGGGGGGGATCCGCAAAGGGTGTAGCGCGTACGGGTATGGGCGTGATAGTGGTGGTGGATTTTCTTGCCGTCGGTCGGTCTGCCGAAGGTGCAGATAATTATATGCGTCGTATAAGGCTTCGCCATGGCCATTTCCATGCTTGAATAAAGCAAACCAAATGTTCCAAACAAAAACAACGGCGGCTGACCCCCAAGACAGATTCCAATCGCGTGGTGCATGCGCATCATCGCAACACACCACAAAAGCAGCAGAGGCAGCAACGACGGTGCGATGACGCGACGCCGAACAGCAGCAGCGACAACAGCAACGAAAATAATGCCGACAGAAGCTTTCCCAAAACAACACTACAAACAAAAAAACACAAACGAACGGTACTTACTTGATGGTGCCGGCGAGGTTCCCGCGGCAGTCGTTGGCCGTGAAGCGGAAGGTCTTCTCGACCAGCTGCCTCGCGTGCTTGGCCTCGTCATCGTTCGGGTTCATAGGCGTCTGGTTGCTGGCGCTCAGAGAGTGGAACAGGTTGGCGTCGTCCGACATGGGCTCCAGCTTTGCGGGTGCACCTGGAGTATGTACATGGACCGGAGGGGGGGCATGGATCGGAGAGGGTGGGTGGGTGGGTGGGGGGNCGGTTAGACAATTGACCACGCGTCCTCGAGAGGACGGAGCATTGTTCCCGTAGGACTCATCACAGTGTCGGCATGTAATCTGTGTAGGTTGTATCCCTGGCAGTGGCCACTGTGTAGTAACAGAGTGCAGAGGCTCAAAAGAGTGACTGTAAACCACACTTGTGTTGTAGACCAGATGATATGGTCGTATTGGCGCATAGTTGGCCGAAAGTAGAGGAGAGAGAAAGGAGAGAAGAGAGAAAGGAGAGAAGAGAGAAACGAGAGAAGAGAGAAAGGAGAGAAGAGAGAAAGGAGAGAGAGCGAGAAAGAGAGCGAGCGAGCGGGGGCGAGCACCACGGGGGCGAGCCAATCATCGTCATCACGGGAAGGAAACACACACGAGCTATTGCAACGTACCGATCACGGTAGTGGACGGTTAATCCGACCTATGGCAACGTTACTAGAATATCCTATAGGACAACAGTCCGATGTACCGTACTACTATGGTTCAATGTATAACCCGTAGGTGTGTACCATGATGCAATTACTGAATCAACATATGACTATTCCGGTAATACTGCTTAGGTGTGTACAGCAGTACGAATCCTAGTGACTGACAATGAATATTCCAACACACCGATGGCCAATCGTTCCTTCCTACTTCGCCGAAGGTGGCTCAAAAATGTCATCCCTGCATCGACATCACTTCCCGCTTTTTCAACCCACTTCCTATGCCCAGTACAGCTACCGTCTTCTCCTGGCTATTTTTCCATGCCTCCAACATCTCCCTGCATCTTCCGTCTACCTTTCCCAGCTCAGCCATGCACATTCCCCTTTTCTTCTTGTACAACCGGCATTCCGCAAATACACGAAAACAGCCTTCGCACTCGGAGCCGCGATCAGATTTGAACTTATCTTAATCGGCTACCTTCCTAAATCTATACCTACGGTCTCGCTTGCCGTTTCCAGCGTATCATCTTCGTCGATGTCGAGCGCTTTCCATTCGTCCTCTACAACCTTGACCCACTCCGTGGGTTGTCTACCCCTCTTGCTGTTTGCCCACGTCGCCTCCCACGCTATTCTCGGCAAGCTCTCCTCTCCCATACCGCACATGCGGTCATAGCTTCCTTGCGTCTCTTCCCGATCTTAGGGATGGGATCCCCAGTAATGCCCTGACGGCTGCATTACTTGTGCGTAAGGTGCATTCTAGCATGATTGTCGCTGCTTTCATCTGCGACGCCTCTAGTGGCGGTACGATTACGCTGGTCAAAACTGTCAACTTGACGAGTGTATCGAGGCCGGTTTACGAGTGTTGTTTTCAGCTTCCCTGCTCGTGCCAGCACCTAGGACATGTGTGCATTCCACGAGCAGTTTATTGCGATCGTTACTCCGAGATATGTGTACTGGTCCACTTCTGCAATCTCCTCAACCCCCTACTTCCATAAATACTTCACTGGTTTCTCCCTGACTTCGTTGCACAGCATGACGGCACATCTAAACGTTGGCAGACAAGCTCCACTTATCAGCAAACTCCCTCGCTGTGTGAATCTGCACGTCAAGTCCGTCAGGGGTGTCAGGCATCCCAACAACATCAACCGCAAACAGCATTCCCGACACCGACGTTTCCCCCACCTCTACTCCCTTCCCAACTGTCTTCACGACTTTCAAGACATAGTTGAAGAACACCCGGAACAATGTTGAAGGATGTAGACAGTTCTCCGTCTACCAACACAGCAATTTTCGTACACTATTATCATCTTCTTCAGCACTCTCCACATTTTCCCCTTCATCCCATACTTGGACAATTGTTCCCACGTCCCACTTCTCCATACTGCATCGTATGCCTTTTGCACGTCCAGGAGGAACCAGTACGTCGGCTTTCCCGCCCTCTTTCTACCTTGGATGATTCTCCCTACCGTGAACACGTGGTCTACGCACCCCCTCTTCTTGCGGAAACCTGCCTGGCCCTCACCAATGCTATGTTCCTTCTCCAATACTCCCACTATCCTATCGTTCAGCAGCTTACAGAACACTTTTCCTACTGCGTTCAACAGTGTGATCCTCCTGTAGTTTCCTAGGTCAGCCTTGTCTCCCTTTGTAAACACCTTCACAACCACCCCTTCCCTCCATCTACTTGGCGCACACTCGTTGGATGGGATGGGGACGGGTGAACGGTAAAGAAACAAGGGTGTGTAAATTCTAACATAAACAAGGGCTCTGGACGCGGGGGGCTACCGCGCCGCGCCCTGAGCCTGCGACGGCTGGAGTCTTGCGGAAAGAGGGTGTCGCGCGGGTTCCGCGAGGACGGAGACCGAACGGCGTCCGGCGGGGGGCTGGCCGGGCCCGTAAAATGTTTCGTCTCGATTGCAGAGTAGGGCTAATTCCCCGCTGCGCTGTCAGGCGTCGAGCTAGAGGTTGAGTGAAGATTACTTACCTCTACTGATGCTGAACAAATATTTACCACCACACAAAAAAAATCACACATTGAAAATTCTCGGAAATTTCTATCACTATCCGGATCCCGATCTGTCGCGAATGAATCACATGCTCACCTGCGACCACGCGTAGGGTCATCTCTTGCACCCTCTCATCCCCCTCGCCCTGGGTGCCCTGTGTCGCCAGCGGCCTACGCTCTGAGTACGTACACCTGACGTATGTGTGGGAGAGAGACAGACACACCGAGAGATAGAGACAGAGAGGTGGGGGGAAAGAGAGGGAGAGAAAGGGAGAGGGGCAGACGGGATGCGTTTGTTCTTTTGTGAAGCTAAGAACCGAGCGGGAGGACGCTGGTAAGCGAATGAGGCACACCGCGCAGCTGTTGACGAGCACCAAATCGCCTCTACCACCTCCTACAGCGACCACGGTCATCATCACAGTACGGTCACCGAAGAAACGAAATTTTCGTGTTCGGTCGACTTTCGGTTTGGTGTCGTAGAGTCAGTCAACAGAAGCAGCAGCAGCAGCAGCAGCAGCCTCAACCACCACATTAGCATCAGCACCATTATCAGCAGCAGCACCGACAAACAGCCCCCACCACAACAGCAGCAACATAACAAGCAGTAGCAGCACCGACAACAATAGCCTCCAACACAACAATAAAGCACCAAGGTCAGCAGCACCAACACATCCTAGCTAGCAGGATCAACACCACCAGCAATAACAGCTGAAAGCAGCAGCAGCAGCAGCAGCAGCAGCAGCAGCAGCAGCAGCAGCGGCAACAACAACAGCTGTAAGCAGCACAAGCTCCCACGACACCACAACACGGACAGCGACGTCCATGCTACCCGCCAGACACAAGCACACACGACAGAAACAAAAACAACAAAAAACTTACGAGATGTAGTGCTCCCCGACGTCCTGGTCCATGACATCCTTCTTGGGATGGAAAACCAAAGCGTGGTCCTTGCCCAAGCTCGCGGGCGCTGGTACCGGCGGGTGGTACAGGTTGCTTTGTGTCCGGAGAAGCTTCTCACGCGCGTTGTACAAGTCGTGGGATCTATCCAGCCGCAACAGAGTCGGGGGGGGGAGGGGGGGGGGTTGGGTGTGGGAAGGAGGGGGGAAGGGGAAGGCAGGATGCAGCTTGAGTGTTACAATCGCAGGCATGCATGGGCGCTTCCGAAGGATGCGGTCACGACCATTGAAGAGGGAGTCCGGAAGCCACAAATCTAATTTTGGAAATTCGATTTGCGAGCATCGAGGCATGCACCGTCAGTGTCCACTTAAGCGCTCCCAAAGCGCCGTCTCAAAAGCGACAGCAAAGCCTTGGAAGAACGTGGCAAAACACTGGGACTTCAAACGCAGCCAAACCTTTTACTACGTAGGCGACGGTTGAAGCACCATCAGCAATCGTATCAACAGTCCCACAGGTGGTCTGAACCGCGCCCTTTGTCCTCGTGGTCCGCGTCTACAACACCGCCCCCTCCTTACGCGATGAAAACAACTCCGCCTGGCAAAAATCAGGCCCGCTTGGAAAAAAAGAGAGAAAAAAAATACTACAAAAAATGACGAAACGGGGAAAAACACTCGCCCGGTTGTGCTCGAAACAGAGGTGACCGCGACCGTCACGCTGTCGAGCGGCGGGTCCCTACAGCAGTCCTGCTCGCAAACAAGACCAAAGCAAACAAGAAAAAATAAAAGCTCACCCGGCTGTGCTCGAAACGGAGGTTACGGTGAAGGTGACGCTGTCAGGCGGCGGCTCGCACGGGCTGTTGTTGTCCGTCTCGAACCAAACCACCAAGGACGGGAGGGGACCGTCCGCCGGCCTCACGAGCCCGTACCTCCTGGCTCTCTGCCCGATGACCGAGCCGAGCATCGTGGGCTCCTGTAGGGTAGGCTCCGACGGAGAGGATGGCGTCGTCGTCGGAGCTGGCGGCGGCGACAACGCGGCGAGATTCACCTTTGTAACGGCACAGGTCCTCTGCCTTGTCCAGTAGATGGTCGCCTGGTGGGGGCGCCGAGGGAGGGAAGGGGAGGGGGGGATAAGACAAGGCGAAATAAGAGAAAAAAAAAAGCGCCGCGCTTGATACCGGAAGTAAGTGCTACAGTCTAACAACAAGACAAGAGACGATCAACTCTCACTCACCGCCTCAACGTCCAGGTCAGCCACCTCCGCGCGCACCAGCAGCGCCACCCCCTCCTTCGCAACCCTCGCAGCCCTCTCCCTCTGTGCCCGCTCTACGCTCTTGCTGGTCTTGCCAGAGGCCTGTTCATCCCCTCCCAGAACATTCTGGTCGAGGGAGAACTTGGGCATGGTTACCTGCGGCTCGTTGGTGGCTCGCTTCGACAGGTCCTTCTTTCCGGACGAGGAGTTCGACGACGAAGAGGCGCTTCTCCGGCCACGGGGAGAGCCGAGCCCGCCGCTGCCGCTGCCGCCGCCTTCAGACGGCAGGGCGTCGCGTGGCGTCACCAAGAGCCTGACGCCTTTCGGGCCTATGTGGGCATCGAAGCCGTTTTTGTCCACCAGATGCACCTCAAGGTCGCTCACCTTGTCAGACCAGGGGGCGGGGGGG